GATCCGTTTCATGGCGGAGGTTGGTCCAGGGGGGGGGTTACCATATATATATATATATATATATATATACATACACGTACGAGGTATACAATCGTGCACATGTGCCAGTATATGAGCACATATAAAGATTGCCATATTTAGACATGCATGTATTTGTTGCTCGTACGTTCATGACATCGAACAAAGCCGAGCAAGCCGCAGGCGTCGAAGTAAGTTCAGACCTTATCCACCTTGCGAAGCTGTGCATCATTGGCAGCCAGGGTTCCATGGCTTTCATGGCGCCGAGCATTTTAAACAACCAGTCGATCAACACCATGCAACATCATGCAACCCCGGAGATGTAGAGCCGTAAATCAGCCCCAGACCAGAAATCCTGTGCTGCACCGTCTGGATATTGCGTGCTGACAGGTGGAATTCTCATTCTGTGTTTGCTTAGCCGTGGCCTGCTTGGGATCCTCGGCAGTCTTATGTATACCTTGTTACAATTGAACCCGAGTGAGGAAGTTTTATGTGAGGCTTTCCTGGGTCACGATCCGTCTTCGTCCGTTAGGGTTCTGTTGCTCACCCTTCGGAATGTTGGTTCTCAGCATTGTTCTTCGCCGAAAAGGGGCCGGAGATGATCGTTTCCACGCGACCGGAGTTGTAGATTTCGCGAATGGGTCGGTTGAGACCTGGATCCTAAAGCCGAGCTTTAAACTTGGGACGAGAGAGTTTCTGGGTTTTGGCAACCCTAGCGAACCTAAGCTCGTCATCATGATGCGAATGACTTGCATTTGTATTCCCACTGTTACTTCTGCAACTACTGCATCTGCCTGTTGTCGTCACCTGTCTGATGAAGATGATGATGACGATGATGACGATTATGACGCTTCGGTCGTGGCAAGGTTGCTGTGGCTCTCATGGTAGCGAAGAAGTAGATGAAGGTTACAAGGATTGTCCTTCTCCTCCTTGCTGTGATCCTCCGGCTTCTTTTCTGCTTTCGCCTTGTCTTTTCTTAAGTTTTTCACGGCCTTGGCTCTCGTAGGAAACTTCCGGGCGAAGTCTCGAAAAACAAGGGTGCCAAGCTGGCTGCACTTTCGCATCCTTCCAATATCTCTTCCGCCGGCCACCCGTCTACTGCCCCGGTGGCCGTGAGGTGTGTTGGCTATGCTGGTGGCCCTGATCGTCTTCAACCACCTGCACTGGACTACGCGGTACTGTGACCGCAGAGAGACGATTTTCAGAAGCGAAGCCAAAAAACTCCGCGGTTTGCATGGGGGCCCCTTCCGTCTTGGACCCTTGTCCAAAGGCAGACAGTCCAAGGCTGAAGCAGCCCACAATCCTACTTGACAACCCCGCAACACCCTGAAGGCATAGAAGCAGCAACATGCCCGGGAGGCTTCTCGTCTTCGTGGACACTTTCTGGAAAGTTGGCTTCTACATCTTCGGACTGATAGGACACCCGCTGCCTTTATGGGCGCGTCCCAAGCCCCAAGCTCAGCCTCAACTCTCAGCTCAGCAGGGAAACCGTTCAATGGGTGGCCCCCCACCCGGGCTACAGAAAATCTTCCGATGCAAGAGAACTCTGTACCTTGGGTCGATTGGGGTGTGTCTGCCTTCGGTAGTGTCCACTTGTCGCTTGTCGGCACCCAAAACTATGCTGCTGCTACACTTGCTTTGCGTCATATTACAGGCCAGATAGCATGTTGCGGAAGCTCTCCGCTGCTCGTTGCCTGTCACCCCAGAACCTGCAAAGCAGAGCTCATGTAATCGATGACAAGGTGTGAGTGTGACAATCAAGATCGCACAACAGACAGCACAACAACACCTTCCCCTGGCAAGCCGTTCGCATCGTGATATGGACGCATGTGGACCCAAGTTGCTCGAGTAAAGCAAGAGGAATCCTCACAGTGGCGTCGACTTTCGTCCACGACAACGACGACCCAGACTCCATTCAGCGCTTTTGGCAGTTCCAGTGCCCCGTTGAGGGTTCACAGTGTGGCATTGGAGGTTATGAGGGTGTACGATTTCATCGAGCTTCCTTTAGCTCGATCTCGTTCCCACAGCTTTCGGCGGAATCGACGAAGTTTGAAAGGCAGCGATCTCTGACAATAGCATGCTATGCTCAACCCCAAATCTGGGTCAGAAATGGTCTTGGACATCT